AAAGAATTCAGAGTAATGATAGTAGAGATGATCCAAAATCTTGGAAATAGAATGGAGAAAATACAAGAAACGTTTAACAAGGACCTAGAAGAACTAAAGATGAAACAAGCAACGATGAACAACACAATAAATGAAATTTAAAATACTCTAGATGGGATCAATAGCAGAATAACTGAGGCAGAAGAATGGATAAGTGACCTGGAAGATAAAACAGTGGAAATAACTACCACAGAGCAGAATAAAGAAAAAGAATGAAAAGAATTGAGGACAGTCTCAGAGACCTCTGGGACAACATTAAACACACCAACATTCAAATTTTAGGGGTCCCAGAAGAAGAGAAAAAAAAAAAAGGGACTGGGAAAATATTTGAAGAGATTATAGTTGAAAACTTCCCTAATATGGGAAAGGAAATAGTCAATCAAGTCCAGGAAGTGCAGAGAGTCCCATACAGGATAAATCCAAGGAGAAACACGCCAAGACACATATTAATCAAACTATCAAAAGTTAAATACAAAGAAAAAAATATTAAAAGAAGCAAGGGAAAAGCAACAAATAACACACAAAAGAATCCCCATAAGGTTAAGAGCTGATCTTTCAGCAGAAACCCTGCAAGCCGGAAGGGAGTGGCAGGACATATTTAAAGTGATGAAAGGGAAAAACCTACAACCAAGATTACTCTACCCAGCAAGGATCTCATTCAGATGCGATGGAGAACAGCAGAAACTGACACACCATTGAAAAGCAATTACACACCAATAAAGATGTTAAAAAAAGACAAAAAAGATAAAATGAGGAGTGGGAGTGGTCAAGGGAGGGAGTGAAGGGAAGAGTGTTGGAGGCGCATGGAACAGACCACAGGGTGGCCTAGAGGATGAGGGAAGCTGAGGAGTTGCCCGGAGCTGTTCACAGGAGCCACATCCCTCTGGGAAATAATAGACTGGGGTGGATAAGAGTGGAAGCAGAGAGCCCAGAAAGGGGGTTGGGCCAGGAGAGGGGGAGTCAAGGTGGGGAGACCTGGCTAGGTCCGACTTACTTTTTGGAGGTGTCGTCCAAAGGATGACAGGTGCAGGTGCCTGACCTGCAGACAGGCTAGAGCAATCAAGAAAAGAATCAAAAGGGACCTGTGAATGGGGGGACACTTATTGGGGGGGTAGGGTTGGGTCAAGTTGGGGGAAATTAAAACTATCTTTTGTCTCTATTTAAAAAATGACTTCCAGGGCTTCCCTGGTGGCATAGTGGTTAAGAATCTGCCTGCCAATGCAGGGGACATGGGTTCGAGCCCTGGTCCAGGAAGATCCCACATGCCACAGAGCAACTAAGCCCATGCGCCACAACTACTGAGCCTGTGCTCTAGAGCCCACGAGCCACAACTACTGAGTCCGTGTGCCACAGCTACTGAAGCCCACGTGCCTAGAGCCCGTGCTCTGCCACAAGAGAAGCCACCGCAATGAGAAGCCTGTGCACTGCAACGAAGAGTAGCCCCCACTCGCCGCAACTAGAGAAAACCTGTGTGAAGCAACAAGGACCCAATGCAGCCAAAAAATTTTAAAAATTAAAAAATAAATAAAAATTTTTAAATGACTTCCAGAATGTTTAAATAATCTCTCTGAGTGTCATTTTGTCTTTGCCTCTGTCTGTGCCCATCTCTCTGTCCTCTATTCTGTGTCTCTATCTCCCTGTCTCCCTCTGTGTCCCAACCTGTCTGTCTCTGCCTCAATTTGGGTCTCTGTTCCTGTTGTCCCTTGGTCTCTGTCTCTCTCTGTCTTTTCTTCCTGTCAACCTCTGTGTCTCTGTTCTTTGTCTCTGTGTGTCTCTGTCTCCATCTCTCTGTGTCTCTGTCTCTCTTTGTCTCTTGTCTCTCTATCTCTCTCTGTCTCGGTCTCTTGTCTCTCTGTGTCTCTCTTTGCCTCTTGTCTCCCTGTCTGTCTCTCTCTGTCTCAGTCTCTTGTCTCTCTGTGTCTCTCTTTGTCTCTTATCTCTCTGTCTTCGTCTCTTTTCCCTGTTCTCTCTGTGTCTCTATCTATATCCTTCTGTGGTTTTATTTCTGTCTCTGGTCCCAATCTCTTTGCCCATCTCTGTATCTCTTGGTCTCTGCCTCTCTCCATCCCCCACCCCAGCCTGGGTTCTTACCCTAGAATCCCCACTCCTGGGATCATTCCCACCTGCCAGGCTGGAAGCATCTCCATGGCGTGACACACACACACACACACACGCACACACACTCTGTCTTGGATTCATCCCTAAATAACTGGGACACGTCTGCCTAAACTCGAGCAGGATAAGGCCTAGGTGAGGCCACAGAACAGGGTGGAGGAATGCCACATCCACGCCCTTCTCCCTCATTCCAGCTGCCCCAGCCCTGTCCCTCACTCTGGCCCCAACCTGCCTCCTCCCAGTGCCCAGACCTAAGTCACGTCTGGGCGGCTGTGCGGCCTGAGCCCACTCTACACCCCACCCCTACTGCTCCTCCTGGCCTCCTCCATCTTCATGGTCAGGGCTGCAGGTTCCAGGAGTAGGGCAAGGTCAAGGGTCTCTGTGCCCCCAGGTGACTGAATGCAGGCAGATAGATGGAGGCCGAGCCAGAGAACCAGACGGACACTAAGAAAGGGCTAGAGACAGAGAAATCAGAGAGAAACAGGGCCAGAGAGAGACAGAGAGACACAGACATTCATCCCTCAGCAGCACCATCATCTGTCCCCACAACCCCTCATCAACGCCGTCCACACCTCCTCCTTAGGTGACCTCATCCAACCCCATGGCTCTAGACACAACGTCTCCTAGGATGACTCCCCACCGTTTCTCACCAGCCCTGACCTCTGTCTGCCCCATGGTGCTCACACATCCAACCACTTGGCTCCTATAGGCGCCTCCAGCTCAGCCCTCCTCCCCACACCTCTTCGCCCCGCACAAATGGCGCCACAAATGGAGCCGCCGACAGACCCAGCCTCCGAGACACCATCCTTACCTCCTTTTTCCTCCCTCCCCACCTTCCACCCACCGGCTGCTACTTGACTTTCCCGCCCCTCCCCCACACGAGCCCTGGGCATCTGTGTTTCTCTTCTCCTTGGACCACAGCCTCTCCCACTCAGGCTGTTGCCACCTCCCACCTCCGCGCTGGTCTCTCTGCTTCCATCTCACCCTCTACAATCATTCTTCCACGCGGGATGTTTTTGAAACATAAATAAGATCGTGGCCCTCCTACCTCGTG